ACATAAGGAGTTACTGCATGTGAAATAAATATAAGAGAAAAAAAAATTGTTAAAGAGATATAACAATAAAAGAAGATGAATTAAAAACACAGAATATAATGATAAACATTACATTTAAAATTTTGAAGATCAAACTTGACAGGAAAGAAGAAGCCAGAAGAGAGTTTCACAAGCAAGAAATGTGGTAAAAAAAACTGTTAGCATAGAACTATTTTAACAGTAAGATGATGAGACCTTGCTACCAATTTAGTAGTATACTTAAATTCATAAAGTCTGGGTACCAAAGAGGAAATCTTATAAGAACAATTACCATTATAATATTTATAGAAGATACACAGGCAAGCTATGTTATAGCAGCAGGAAAATGACTGAAGCTGAGATGCCAGGTTAGGACTAATAACATTGTAGATTCTTCTTTGGGTTTTATCAAGAATTTCTAAATACATAGCACAAGCACCAAACTAGATGTGGTAGCAATATTCAATGCATGTAGGAATGGTAGATTTATAAATGTGTAAGATAGATTCTGGCAAGAAAAATTGTGAGAAATATGCATTTATCACAGTCATAAGACAAACTTAAAAGAAACTTTCTTGTTCTTAAAACCAAAATCTATTATTTTATCCAGTTTTGTGGTTAACATCATAGCTAATATTTGAAAGAGTTTTCCTTTCATTCAGTGATTAAAAATAAATTTCGCCATAAATTGTTTCAAAACTTTAACCCTTCTCCAACTGAAAAAAAATGATGATCCGTATGGTCATATATTTTCATCCATGTTTAAACTAAATTAACTGATTCTTTTGTCCATGCTAATAACTATCATACAAAACTTTCTCTTTCTAGGCTTTAAAGTCAACAAATTTTAAGTGAAATTTGGTTTAACATTTGAAACAAGACTAATAAAAAGAAAATACAAAAAGAAGTTATGAAGTTGTTAATATTTTTCTCTATATTTCAAGGAGTAAAAAATTTCAGTCACATTTTTAAATAACCTCGTCTGATCAAAACTTTCATATGGAAGTCATGTATGGCACCAAACCTGTTCAGAAATATCTAAATTGTCAGCTGTAGACAACAAATTTCTAAGATCAATAGTTAAAAATGGTTTTGAGTAAGTGAAGCCTTACAGTCTTACCAAAGATCATCATTCCTTGAACATTGTGGATTGGCACTACAGAATCTCAAAAAAAGAACTGTACCAAATAACAGAAACCGCATCGCTTGAGGACTACCAACAGTAGCAACAACTAAAATGAATTGCACATGTAACTCAAAAAGAAAACAATAACAATCAAGATGTTGATGTTCAACACTAATTCAGATGAAAGGTTGAGAATTAAACTGGAAATAGAGGTAGCAGTTAATGAACTTGAAAAACACATTGATTTAATAAAAAGATTTTATAAGATTAAATTGAAAGTAGCTGAGATGTTCAGTAAATGAATGATGAATGTTTCCTTGTCAGGAAACAGCTTATATTACTGTTACTACTGCTACAGAATTTACCACAAGTAAAAAGAATTTTGCAGTCTTGATAAACAGTTTCTTTTATTAGTAAAACAGGGTCAAAGCTCTCCAGGTGATTCAAAACGAAGTGAATGTTTATTGAGCTTACTGTCATAATGCAAGAAATAATTACTAATTTGGGTTTCTTCTTTTTAGCAAGAAAATGTGAGCAGACTTAATTGCCGGTGTAGGGTAATTTTATCATGTAAAATATTGATTTGCATAATCTGAAAGCAGGGAGGAAGCTTACAAAAATAACATATTTCTACTTACAAGTACTCTCAGAGATAAATAATATCATTTAAATTTTAAGCATATTCATCTCTGAATTTACCTATTTTTCTGCATTTGTTGCCGCCCACATCTCAATTAATAATAACTTTTTGACAAGTAATTTCATTTCAACTCTCATCATTCTACCATCAGTAGTCAGTAAAACACATTATAAAAAATAAAGTCTAAAAGGTTAACAAGGCATCACCTCAGGAATTCTGTATTTGCATAACAGCTGCTTTACTGATGAGGCCACAAAAACTTTCTAGCTGAAATCATTTGAATCTAACCAAATTGCCTTTCTTCCCCTCTTTCAACCTCATATATCATCTTTTTTTTATTTACATATATTTAGTATTATACTATTATCTTCTTGATTTTTTGTTTCCAATGTACGTTCTTTTTCTTCTATGATGTACCATGACCCTTCAGTATATGGGCAATCATGGTTCTCAATAACTCACTGTCCTTTGTTGCTTTTAGCAATGTTTGTCTTTTCATTCACACAAGTTCATTAGGTATGTTACACACTTATCTTCTATATTTTCTGTCAGTATCAACTTCTCCAAGCTCGCTTTCCACATTATGTATCCTAGAAATTTCAATTGCCTCTTCCTAATTCTAAATATAAAGGTTCTTTTTCTTTCTGTTTTCCTTGAGACTTCCATGTTACTCATATGATCAGTCCATGTTATTCTCAATATACTTTTGTAGAATCACATTTCTGTTTCCTCAAGTCATACCTCACAGATGACTTGAGGCAATGGACATATGGTTCTACAGAATTTCAAACAAAGCAAAGAGTGCAGAACTGCTATTTAATATTAGTCCATGAATATGGCAGTGAATGCTCTTTGTTTTCAATGAAATTTTACAGTTTCTTAATACTCTATCTTTTGGAAGGTGTCTTTCACTATTCCAATGCATCTTTGAAATTCAGTGTCACATTTTCCATCCTCTGTTAAAACACTTTCCTTTGCTGACTGATAAACATGGTTTGGTTTGGTTTGTTTTGTTTTATGGCACATCAACCTCAATGGGTCATTTAATGACAACATTTTTTTTTCCTTGTAATACTTTTGTTTTGTCAAAAATCTATTTCTGTTAATATTTTTTTCCTCAAAAATATATAGCTGGTAATATTATTTTTTCAAAAAAGTATAGCTGGTAATACTATTTTTTCAAAAATGTATAACTGGTAATACTATTTTTTCAAAATATACAGCTGGTAATATTATTTTCCCAAAACATATAGCTAGTAATATTATTTTTCCAAAATGTATAGCTGATGATAATATTTCTTCAAAAACGTATGGCTGGTAATATTATTTTTTCAAAAATGTATAGCCGGCAAAATTATTCCTTCAAAAACATTATCAGAGGTCTTGCTGTTGGATGCAGTTTATCATCATACCCAGGACGTGGATTTAGTTTATCGTCATACCCAGGATGAGGATGTAGTTTATCGTCATACCCAGGACGTGGATATAGTCTAGGTGTTAATTATTTGCCTATAGCTGGGACCCTAACAGGTGCTACCACCCCAGGTCAGGGTGGACCTGGGAACTCTAGCAATTAACAGGTGGTTCCACGCTCCTCAAAACCTCCTGATCAGAGGCCTTGCTGTTGGATGTAGTTTATCATCTTACCCAGGACATGGATGCAGTTTATTGTCATACCCGGGATGGCCTGCTGGATGTAGTTTATCATCAAACCTAGGACTGATAAACATGATATGAAAATTATAGCAAAAAAATCAAGTGAAATTATGACAAAGATAACTAGTTGAAAAATGGTGTAATGAATATGCATACACCTGGGTTCCCCCTCACAGTAATATGATTGGCTGGTGTCAGTCATAAATACAGACTGATGTGGAGGTACATGAGGATGCCTATTGGCTATGCCTATTGCCTACCACTACAACGAGGACCAGTCATTACGGTTACCTGCTAGATTGTTCTACCCGGTTACAGTAGTCCAAAACCACTTTGCTACTTCAAACAAATATATCCCTTTCCGGGACATATCAAAAAATTAATAACAAAGTTATCTTGTGTTGAAATCATTGAATGGAAATAAGTCATCACTATCACTGCAGTTTTCTATTGAACTTCTTCTGAAGTTTTATTCAAAAGAATGCCATGATGATTGCTCGCTGTAATTTCATTGAAAATACATTTTTAATTCTACTTGCAGTAAGATGCCAGAATATGCACTGCACTCACTTTCAAGTCATATTAAGAAAGCAATGAGTTGGGTTGATCTGATGTTACACCTAAAGCATAGGAACTTACACCTGCATCAAATTTTGCAAACATGGGAAAGATTTGTAATACAGGGTATCCCTAAAATCTGGACACACAGGAAATCAACAATAATATTTTTTACCTTCACAGATTAAACATGCTTTTGTCGAAAAAAAAGAATTGATTTTTTTTCTGGGGTATGCTAAAGTGTAGAACAATCACGTTGTCAAGATAAACACTCAGTTGTGGAACAAGCTGAGAAAAGACCCCTCCACCTTGAGAAAGAGAGCTATTTATGGCGCCATGGAGCATCTCATTGTGCTCAAGTGGGATAGTCCATTGCTTGGGCTGTGATTGGCTGCTGGTACATGAGTGGAGGTATGTCTGTATAAATACCAGCTTGATTCATCAGTTAGTTTGCAGGGTTTGTATTGAGTTACAACCTGCTTTATTTTTGTCTGCCAGCTGGACGCTAGCTGGGACCCTTACACCGGTAAGTGTTTTTGTTATTGTTATTCTACATAAAGGAGAAGGTGTACTCAATGAAAATCACAGATGCAACACATTTGGTTGAATGCATAAAGAGTGAATGTGCTAAAATTGATGGCAATGTGTAGTTATTGAATCAAATTTACATGAATCATGAAAAGAGCAGCAACTTTTGCATCACAAATGATGGAAATCAAATTGAAGGTGTTATTTGTTAATATTCCAATTCAATAAAATATTGAAAATTTCATTTCTTGAAAATATGCATTTTTACCTATTTGTCCAGACTTTAAGGACACCCTGTACACACAGTTATATAAACAATGTCCCCTAAACAAGAAATGGATAATCTCTTAGACACTTTCTGAAATTAATTGATGAAATAAAATATAGCTTAAAGTAATAGAAGTTATTAAATTAGTCTGCAAATATTATCATTTAGTTGGCACCCCCCACCACTTCATGACACTATACATCTTATGGGCATATCATTTTGAAACACCAGTTCCCATATGATCACCATAGTAAAGCAATGTCAAGCCTAGTCAGTACCTAGATGGGTGACTGCTTTGGTATACCAGCTGCTGTAAGCTTAGATTTTTGAGTGGTGTAATGGATAATGGCTTAGAATTTGTAAGCTGTGTTAGTTATAATCACTTACATGCAAATAGCCTTGGGAAAGGTACAAATCTACCTTTTCTTCCCCATTTATGAGTTAATTAGTAAGACTTGTATCAGTACCTCATTATTTTCTCAAAAAAAATATTACTATATTAATTTTTTTTAAATAACCTGCAAAAGATTGATAAGCCATAAAAAACAATCAATCAATGTCATTAGACAACACTTCATGGAAACAAACTATAATGTTGCAATCCCTATTCATCCATCATACGTTACTCAAGTTAGAAAAATTTTTTGTTAAAGTTTTACCCTTGAAGTTTTGAAGATCCAAGGTTCTATATTAAAGCCTTATTCAATAAGGTGTCTTATCTTGAACTTTTAAGATATAATAAGTTTTGGTTTACAAACTATTAAAAAAAATTTTTTAAAAAGCCACTGAGCCAGACAAATTTCCAGTGGTTGTCCTTAAGAATATCAACCCAGAATTATCCCCAATCCTACCAAAATTAATTAACTGCTGATTGAGGGAGAAATCTTTCCCAAGCCTATAGAAGGTGACAATCTTCAAGAATATGGGGGACCAATCCTTCCTCTCCCATTATAGACCCATTAGTCTCCTCAGTATTGTCTGTAAACTTTTTGAAGCTTTAAACAACAAGAAGGTTGTTGAGCACCTAGATAGGAACAACTTCTTGTGCAATGAACAATATGGGTTTTGATCAGCCTGATCCACTGCTGATGTCCTTTCTACCACTATGCACAGAATTAGTGAGGCCCTTGACAACACATACACCGCAAGAACCATAGCATTAGATCTCGAAGGCCTTTGACAAGGTGTAGCAGAAAGGTTTGCTACTCAAGCTCTCCAGGTACAGAATCACTGGAAGGGTTTTCTCTGTTATAAAATCCTTCCTGATAAGTAGATCCCTGAAGGTAGTTATTAATAGCCAGACCTCTAATGCCCTGGTGGTCAATGCAGGTGTCTACCTAAGAATATACTTCGATCATTTGTAAATATCTATGCCAATGATACAGCAATATATGGATGGACATCTAAAACTCTTGACAATAAGACATTGGCAGCTGACCTCTCTTCCAAAATAACACTAATTTCTCAGTTGGCTGGTTACATTCAATGCCTCTAAAATCAAACTGGTTATATTCCATCACTGCCAATCAGACCCAAAACTGCCACCAGTCATGATGAGCCAATGTCCCTTTGAGGAGGTCCTGTGCCATGAGAGGATATTGGGTCTCAATCTCACACCCAACCTCAAGTCAGACTCCTATATACAATCCATCACTAAAGATGCAGGTAAAATGATTAGCTTCCTGTACTGCTCTAGTAAGTACTTGACTCCTCATGCTATTTTTTAGCTTTATAAAGCCAGATCAGGCCAAAAATGGAGTACTGTTGCCATATATAGATGAGAGTTGCTCAGACCTCACTTTCCAGTCTTGATACAGTTCAAAGGTATCTCACAGATGGGATGTGGGGAGTCTTTCACTTCACTATTGCTACTACCATGGAAAGTGCTTGGACAAACTACATTTCTTGGTTCTGCTAGGTCTAACCTTCATGGCTAGAACCCGTGATACCACTTACAGAGTAGTAAACCACCCACGTTTTCTCCATTTGCCATTGGCGAGAAGTAAATTCCACTCAAGTGTGAACCACAGCCCTATAGAACAGACTTTCATGACGATGTTTCCCTATCGCTACAAGCTTAACATGTTTAAGTCTGGAGTCAACCATTATCTCACCCTCCTATCCATATAAACTATCCCTTAATGTAGCCATCTACATCAAGTGGCCATGGGGCCTTGAACAGGGTGCATAGTACTGTAAAAAAAAAAAAAAAAAAAAAAAAAACCAAATTCTATCTGAATTTCTGGGAGGAGGAATTATTATTATTTGCATTCGCACTAATGAACATATCTTTGTTTTTATCAAATTGTTTTGAGCATTTTGCCCTCTGGCCTTCTTCAGGTTTCTATTTTTCTTGGTAACCTAGGGAGAATTTTGAAGTGAACCTGTTATTTAATATACTGAGGTAGATTTTTTTCTTGTTCTGCTCTTCATGTCAAGTGATATCACATCTAGTTTTTTTAACTTCTCATTTATTGCTCTCTCCAAGTCTGTACTACTTGGCCCAGGAATTGAACTCAAAAATAATATGCCAGCAAATTCATAAATCAACACTTTAATCATGTAGGTTTTCTTCATTGAAATTAAGGCTTCTTTTCCAGAACTCTTTAATGAATAATAAGTTTTGCTTTATAAATCACTGAAAAGAGATTCCACCATCAATCAGTCAATTTCTGTCTATATGTCTGGGATTATCATGAAACAAAGAAAAGAGTATTGAACTGTTACATGATATCTGTCTTCGTGTATAGCAGCTAATGCTGTACAATCTCCTCAAAGATAAAGAAAAGACTTGAAGCAACAGAAATGGGGTTCGACAGAAAGATGCGGAGAATACTATGGGCCAAATATGTGAGCAATGATGAAAATGGAAACAAAAAGGAAACTTATACTTAACATCAGGAAGAGGCAGTTGAAATTTCTGGAATATGTAATAAGGAAGGAGGGCTTGGAGAATCTGTCACTTACAGGACAGACTGAGGGAAAGCGGGACAGAGGAAATCAATGTATAATGTACTTGATGGGCTTGAGTAAATAGATGGTAGAACAGGGTTTGGGAGAAATAACAAAAAGACAAAACATTAAAAACTACAAGAAAACGGAAAATGTGGAGGGCATTAATCGCTTATGTTCTGAGGGGACAGGGCATATAAAGGAAGAAGAATTTATATTCAAACTAATGCCCCCTCATCTTTGTTGTTATTTCAAAGACTATGTCTTCTATTCTTTTTCTGTGTTTCCCAATCTGGAAAATCATGAGGAAATTTCAAACTGAACCCTTTATTTTATCTATGAGACTATTGTCTTTTATTATTATTATTATTGCTACTCAGTTATTGCTTAGCCTGTTTCCATCTTGAATTTGTATAGCCAAGGATTAAACTCACAGTTATTATGCCAAACATTTCAAGAACCAATGCTGCAATGCTCTCAGCTTCTGTCCTGTAAATTAAATAAAGGGTTCAGTTATAGATTCATTGAAGATGCCCAACTGATCTTAGAAGAATGCTGGAGGGCAAAATGTTCAAAATGTAATAACAACAACAAAGATGAAGATATTAGTTTGAATGTAAATAATGTAAATAATCAATCTGTCAAAGTATTGTTTATAAAATTAATTATAAGACCATGTGAGAAATATCAGTAGAATTTGGGCCAAATTTATATTCTTTTTCTGCATCATAAATTTTTCTGAATTTTCATTTCATGATGAACAACAATGTTGCAAACTGAGGAGATATGCATTAACTATTAATTTAATCTGATCAACTTATCGCACATGACAGACACAGCTCACTCGTTGAATTCTTCAAATGGAAAAAAATATGAAGAAATGATTAAGATCATTATAGCAATTAAAACAATTATTAATTATTAGCAAACCAATTAATTCAAATTCTCAAGATTGGTTGATTTTTGCTTTCCAGATTTTGCTGGACAGACATATTTTCTTTATATTTTTCATTCTTGATTTATTTTCTAAATTTTTCTTGTATGAGTGTTTTTTTTTTTCTTTTCTTTGCAAATACAAATCAAATATGAAATAATGTAAATTCAGTCTGACAGCCTAGAGCTACATTAGTTGACTGGCAGTTATTTTTCTCTCCCCAGTTTTTTTCTCATGTTTTATGAGTTATCCAGTAATTCCATGAGTAAATTTTGAAAATTCAATGTTGTACCCTTGTAAGAAACAAATCTTGAATCTCCAGCAAGATAGAAAATTATGCATAGATGTGTTCATATTAGCATACATATACAGACTCACATGTTATTACACTAATATACACACACACACACATATATATATATATATACACATTTTTACACATACACACATGCATATATATAGACACATTTTTACATATACACACATATATATATACATTTTTACATATACACGCACATATATATACATTTTTACATATACACACACACATATATATATCTATATATATGTCCACATTTTTACATATACACACATATTACATATAAACACATACAGATGTATGTATATATATATATATATATATATATAAACACAGACATTTTTACATATGCACACACACACATACATTTTTACATATGCACACACACACACATTTTTACATATGCACACATACACACACATATATATATATATATATATATATACACACATACAAAGATTTTTACATATACAGATGCATATATATATATATATATATATATATATATATATATATATATACATACATAAAAATATATATATATATATATATATATATATATATATATATATATACAAACAAACAAATATATATATATATATATATATATATATATATATATATATAATTAGATAGTTACTAATAAATCCATATGTAAAAGCATAAATAAAATCCTAATTATACGGAGTAGACAAATACATATTTATATTTATGAATTATATGTTGATTACTTTTTCTTTTGTGACTTATGTATGTGTGTATGTATGCATATTTTACTATATTTGATGCAGTCTTTAAATATTATATATATATATATATATATATATATATATATATATAACAACATCATATATATTCAAATACACATACACTCACATTTAACATTGTCAAAATCAGATTTACTTATGCTTGTACATGTATATAAATATATATATATATATACAAGCCTGTTTACTCTATATATACATGTTTCTAAACACAAATATACACAGGGAAATGCACATGTATATTCAAACATACAAAATAAAATACTATATATATATAAATATATATATATATATATATATATATATATAAGCAACAACACTGTTTTATTGTTGGGTTATATAAAT